GCATAATGGTTACTGTAGCACAAAAATAGAGGAACTGTGTTATTTATTAAATCTATTTCTGGCATCCTGTTGTTAAAGGTCTAAAATGCTCATTTCGATCAATATCTGGCAATAGACTACAGTATTAGTTATCTGTGCAGGCTTCAGATTTTGTTAGGGTGGACATCTTGACCAAGATGCCCGCAGTAGGTCCTGCTCTTTAAGGGGCTACTATTTTTTGCCAGGGTCAGTATTACCTGTATACTTGTTTTGACTCTACAGCGGAAGCTACAGAAGGTGAAATACAAAAGGTAAAAAGCCATCTCTTATTACTTGATTAATGCAAACTGGAAAGAAAACATAGAGATAGAATGAAGAAGGATTATCAGCACATACTGGGAGAAGTTGTTGAAGGTGACCTGCTTCCAGCCCTCTTTGCAAAACAAGGTCGCTACAGAACTTCTCAGATGTGGCCTGTTTACACAGAGGTTTTGTTATCCTGCTCTCTAAACTAAAAGAGGGTACACCCTGAGGCAGCAAGGTTACTACTGAAGTAGTGACTCTATCACAAGGCTTTGGGTTCTCAGTAAGTAATCAGATAACTGTCACACAGACCTTCTGAGGTTTTTTTTCCTTTATTTCAGTGTTTCTCAAACTTAGCCACTTTAAGATGTGTGGACCAACTCCCAGAATTCCCCTGCTAACATGCTGGCTGGGGAATTCTGGGAGTTGAAAGCCACACATCTTAAAGTGGCTGAGGTTGAGAAACACTGCTTTATTCGAACATGACCTAGGATAATGTTAGAAAGCATTAGTTTCACCTTTAGCTGTGCAAGGCTAAGTGTGCTAACAATAAAATATTTAAGGAACTTTTCCTGCTGTGTCTTACCTTTCAGCTTCTGCCATAAAGAGATTGGAATGTGGTAATGCCTACCCCCAGTGATTTATGGTTACTTGTTCTAGTAGGTTAGGTCAACAATTCCCCTGCTTGCAAATTACTCTGATGTTTACATATATCTATTTTAAACCTGTAGCTATGTGAGTATTGCTATTGCTAATTAAGGGCATTGATTATGGTTTGCAGTCTCTCAGGTTAGCAGACTGTTGTCTTATTGGATCTGCAGGCCCATCTGCTCAGGATAAGTATGATCCTTGCCACAAATGATCTCACCATCCATCTTCATTCTTCAGTAGTCTTCTCGTGGGCCACCATGGAACACTTCATCCAGGAATTTGTGTTTCTGCAGCAGCTAAAGCTGTCTAAATACATCATGGTTTACTAGCCATCTTCTTCTCTAAAATTCCAGCAACTTTTTTCACCTTGTGTCCCCCCCCCCAAGTTTCTATATAAACATAATTGCTTCTTTCCTTAGCTCACTGCTTTTCCAGGTCAGTCTACCAGCCTGCAGTTAACACAGTACAATAGCAGTGTGGATATCTGGAAGATGTGTAAGAGACTGGCAGACTCCTTCTACTTTCTCTATTCTGACACAGATCCAAGGGGTCTGAAAATCTCTTACTGTGAGCCAATTTGTTTGTTCATAACACTGGGAGAGAATTTAGATTCTAACAGTGGAGGAACCATATTTGCTTGTTTTCATTAATTGTTGGAACTATGAATTGTTTTACAGAGATAGTGGGTGCAAACATGAAAGTAACAAGCAGGGAGATGTTAGTTGGCTACAACCTGGCTGTTACAAGGAAAAGTTGGTAGGCCAGGTGCTGACCTCGCTTACTTCCAGGTTAAAGTCTAACCAAGGAAGTCTGGGTGATAGCAACTGTGGACCCTCCAGTCTAAAGTCTTGCTTTTTAATGCCAAGCCACTTGCTGGAAAACTGCAATTTAATGTTGGGTGGTAGCCCTGACCTAGCAGGGTACTTCAGAGATCTGGCTGAGAGAAGAGGGAGAGTCAACCTTTCACAGCTCTATCTATCACCAGAATAGCCTAGGGTTGGGTGGGGCTGAGAGGTGGTGTAATCGTAGTCTACAGGAATTTCATCTCACTGATCAGAAGCTCCATTTAATGATCTGCCAGTTTTGAATGTTTGATGCTGCATTTGGGTGGTTGGGACAGTATAGGAGTACTGGAAGTATGCTTTCTATCTCACTAACAACAGTATCTTCTCCTGAGCTAGTTGCAATGATTTCTAGCATGGGACTGGATTACTCTACACTTCTTGTCTTGGAATTTTAGTGTCAACTGATAAGGGCTACATCTTTTATTTAGTGATTTTTATCCCCCTCAGATTAAGATTTATATTTTAAGGTTTGCTGAGTAAAAATAATAAATGCCCAAATAAACATGTCCACATCAGGATAAGTTTGTCTTATTCTGCATTTTGAAGAATTAGTAAATTAAAGGAAAAGACAGAGAGTCTCATTCATTTTATCTTATTCAGAATATAACATAAGCATATAAAAGTCCGTAATGCAGAACATATTAAATGAATCTAACCATTATTAAATCATACTTAACACCTTACCAATACCTAGACATTCTTCTCTCTCTCTTGGGAGATTGCATCAGAAAGCTAAATTTACTAATCGAAGCATCAGCTTTTATATTGTTAAATGGAGTTTCTTAGCCCTACAAAATATTAGCACACATATCTCTATTAATTAGTAAGCTAAAAAGGTCAACAGTGTTTACTAAAAGTTCAGAAGTACCAATTAGAAAATAACATTGAGCAACATTTTCTCTACACTTCCTTCTTACCATTCTACTACAGACAAGAACGACTATTTCTTAAAAATGTCATTGTGGTTTATTAAGCTTAAAGCTAAGCCCCATTTGTTTCTTACTTGCAGGTTTCCCATGTGACAGTACAGGGAATGAGTTACAAATCTATTTTAGTCAGACTATCACTAAACAAATAAGGGATATGTTGCTTATATTTATTCACACATTTTGCTGAAGTTGGGGTCCCTAACATATGAGGGGCTATCTTCTGTCTCCTTTTGATCTTATATACCATGGCACCATGCTAGCCCAGTCAGTGGTGGCTGGAGATTTGATGCTCACCACAATGATCTGTCCAACTGATAGCTGGCCTCAAGAATACAGTAGGGTACATGCTGGATTTGGCATTATCTTAGACAGGTGCTGGTGATCTGAGAGTAGAAGAACTTTTTTGCAGTTCCATTGCCATGGCATATCACTCTCTGGTCAATTTAGACTGGCAACTGCTATCAATTGCTGCAAAGATTGAGGATGAGTTAAAGTGGTTTAACCTAGGTCAGAAGGATTTGGATTTTTTTTTTTTAATTGTGCATGGAGAATTTCCCACCTCATTTGTCAAGAATACTTCTGAAGACTTGTGTGAGCTATGGAACAGGGAGATTGTCCAGATAATTAACACTATTACTGCTAAGCAATGTTTTCCCTCTAGCAGAGCCAATGGGCATCTTTTTTAAAAACGAAGAAGTTGAAAGTGATGAAACAACTAGGCTGAATCACAAATGGAGGATCTCTGTTGATGAATCAGGCTGAATACAGAGTACCAATAGAGGTGAATAGAGTGGAGCCCTCTTTCATGTCTACTTCAAATATAATGAGGGCTTCTCTAACTCATTTGTGTCTGTGCAGAATAGACTGGTGACATTTTTCTGTACTGTGGGGCATACCCTTCATCAATATATTATGTGGGGGGGGGGCAGAATAGCTGGAGGCTTGCTGTCAGCAATTGTCATACTTCTTTGCAGACAAAGAAACCCAAATTTGACTTGATTTGGATGCCAATGTTGGTAGGTTACAGGAGATAATATTGGCAAACAAGAGCATTGTCTAATCTTAGTAGTGGGCTGAATAAGGCTGATCAAGCTGAAATTAAAATTCAGACAGAATTTTAGATAGAAGGAAAAGAATGGATTGGGGGATTGAGGTGAAGCTTGTTATGGATATAGTTGCATTCCCCCAGAGAGAGCAGGTTTGCAATCTGTAAATCACTGGATTTACAGGTGGTGGCTGTGGGAAGGAACATGTTTGCACAATTATGGCTAGTAGACCAATTCTGACCCTTGCTGAGTCAATTAGTTCTAGGTAGTTATTTGTGACCTGTCTATAACTGGTTTTAAGTATTGGAATGTGCTTTAGATGGGGCTGTCCTTGAAAAGTATCTGAAATTTGGTTGTGCAAAATGAGTTGACCATGTTGACCAATGCAATCCACAGGAATCATATGATGCCTTAAAAATTTGTCCTGGCTACTAATTGTTTACTAGGCACAATTTAAGTGGCTTAAGGCCTAATTATCTGTGAAGTGCTCCTGCTGCTATGAACCTCCCTGGTTAATTAGATCACCAGCTGAGACCCTTCTAAAAATGCCCCAACTACCAGAAATTGAACTACTGGGTGAACAGGAAAATGATTTCTCCCGTGTGGCTTCCAGGAGATAGAAGGCATGCCCGAAAGAATTTGGTTCCCATTCCCAATATTTAGGAAGATGGTAAAAATCCCCCTTTTGCCAACCTGTTGTTAGTGATTGTAATAACTGATTTTAATTGTATTAATTTTGTTCAGTTTTATACTTTGCATTTTTTTAATTGTTTGCTGGAATAAACAAAGGCAGAGTATACATTCAACAATAAAAAGCAGATCATTGAATGCCTTGAAAATGTTTTCACATCACTTTTATCAAAATGTCCATATTAATAAACCTTTATCACTAGATTTTTATTTCAATTTCTAAGTGGTGAAACGTGTCCAGTATTAGAGTTCTCATATTTATATACCAAGAACAAGTATAATGCAGTTCTGCAAATGCTGTATAGTATTATGATCTGATGTATACTTTGTACTTGTTTGGTTTTGGTGTATTATATGTGGAACTAGAGATTGTGGCATGTACAGTAAAACTTTATTAAAACAAATCATGGTTTAACAGGAACTGTGAACTCATCTTATGGTTTGTATTCAAAGGTTTCTATTCCTGCAATTTTTGTGAACTGCCTAAAACAGTTTAGCACAACATGAATAAATCCTTCTATCATATAGTAGACAATAAATTTCATTCTTGCACATTCTTAAATTTGTAACTTTATTTAGCTAAAATGTACAGTGTTTCATTGAAACAGTGTAGCACTCTTTTCAACAATTGTATTTAAATTGTTGATCTAACAATACAACATGAATCTCTCTATATACATACATGATATATACAAATCATACCTATATATGAAACTTCAGTCATTGGTTTTAAAAACAGTTGCTGAAAACATCAATGCAAATTGTACATTGAAAAATTAGGTCTCTCACTTCACAACAATGGCCTACAACAATGGCCGGGTTTCAAATAATCATGGAACTAATTCTCCGAATCAAAAAAAATGCTTTTTTGCTGTCAAATAATAGCTTCCACTTTTCTTACGTCCCAAATTATTTTGGAAGCTGAAGGAATTTCATATTAGTTTGTGGTATGGAATGGGATATACAGTTCAAAGAAAAATATAGAATTGAACTAATACATTTTGGGTACACCTAGGTTTTTCCTTTTTTAATATTTGTCCTTATATAACAAATACAAAAAAAATATATTATTGGCATACCAGTTTTTCAGAAATTTGCATGTGACAATTTCCTGGATATACAACATAAAGGAATTATGGATTTAATGTGTTAACTATTAAACATAACGAAAACTTATATACATAATCAAAATCCTAAACTTACCTTATATACAATATACTTACAATATATATATATATATATATATATATACACACACACACACACATATAATAATTTATATACAGAGGTTACCCATAAATATTGAAAAATAGGTTTTAACTTCAGTAGGTTACTGTTCTATAAATAACATGTTACATATTGTGAGTAAAATAACATGGAAGACAGTAATTTTAAAATGAGGTGACAAACTGGTTTAATACTGAAACTACTAGCTCCTGAGACGTTTGTGTACCACATGTTCTTATACCAGCAAACAAGATATCTTAGTGGTACTCAGGAGTAGTTTGAGAAGTTTGCCAAATGAAAGAAAACCATGCAATCCATAATTTGAACTGTCCAGATATTGCTGATCCAGCAATAATTCAGTATCATTTATGGAGACACAGAAATTAATACATTTGTTCCAATTGCTGGAACAATGATCCAGCAATAATTCAGTATCATTTATAGAGACACAGAAATTAACACTCTATTTTTCCCACTTTTGTTACTTTTCTGGCTTTTAGATGAACAATTAAGCTGTACCTTTTTTATTGTTGGAAAAGAAGGATTTTTGTTCTTTAACTCCAGCTGGGTTAAAGATACTGGGCAACCCTAGTTGTTGTTGTAAAGAAAAAAAATGTCATTTTAAATTATTCCATATACTTTCTGGAGTATCTAAGATGTTGAGCAAAATACAACTAGACTAGTTCAAATACAAAAAAAATATTATATTATTTATATCTGCTACATAAATATGTTGTCTCCACCCACTAATGTCAATGGTAGTTCTGAGATATAAACACTTAATGAAATCTTACGTTATACCACCTAAATGCTTACAAAAGACGGATCTTTGAAATTTTAAGATGTTCTCTTTAGACAATCTAGATCAAAAAATAAGCTTTATGTTCTTAACAGTACTAGTGTTGATTACTGACATTTTAGGAATAAAAGAGATTATCACAACTGTTATTCAAGTACAGATTATATTGTCCTGCCTAGAACCATGGCTTGAATTCAAATGTCTAGCCTTTCTAAGGCAATAAGGGGAAAAAACACAGTCACTTTTCAAAAATCAGGTTCCTTATTAACAAGCGCCCTAATGAAACATTAGGTTAAGAATGAGGATACAATGGGAAATACCTGCTGCATATATATATATATATATATTTAAATGAACCTATGCTTTAAAAAATGCCCTGGTTAATTACATGCCATTGTTTGATCCCTCTAACTCATTAGCTACTATTTAGCTACTACTAACTTATATTATGCCAGATGAAAACAATCCTCTGAACGTTACCTGATTAAACTCTGCCTTTTTAGATTCTGTCAGTATCTCCTCAGCAATTTCTGTGAATGTAAAACAGCCTCCTGAATCTCTTTACCTTGGGCTTGAAATAGTATGATTAACATGTGTAGTAACCAAACGAACATGATCCTTCCTCCGGCAAGTGCAGCACTTGCAACACAGATTTATTACTACAGACTGTAACAGAGAAGAGTTTACCCTCTATCCCACTTGGCACAATTCATTAAATATCTCTGTAAGTCAACGTTTAGCTCTTCTTGTGTTTCCAGACTGATGTGACGAATGGTTGATGGACAGGAGTATGGGAGGCATGCCCAGATTACCCGTTCACTGAATGCTTATACTCCATAGCCTCTGTTGTCCAGTCAGGGAAGGATCATGCTCTGGATACTTACTGTATATGACCTATGAGTTGTTACCCCACTGTCTCAATAATATTGAGGCAGATTTACTTTAGCAACAAGTATATATGAGATGACAGTTTAGTCAATCAAGGCTTACTGCATTTCATGAGCCTAATGAAAGCTGCATTAAGAAATCCAGTTATTTTATGAAGAGATTTTTGCCATATGCACCAAAGTCTGGTGTAATTATGTAACATAATGTAAAATATTAATAATGAATGAAAACATGCATCTGAAAAGTACCACTCAATCTGGGCATACTTTACCTCTAGTAAACTATAGTATTAGCTCAATATTATTTGTTTTATATACTAAAAAGCCAGATTGTTTCAAGATCTTTCACTAGGAACATCATATTACCTAACAATTTACTGTGCTTTGGTAAGACAGACCAAATGGGGGAAAAAAAATAGAACAAAAATGTTTTTATGTTCTATAATTGCACTATTGAGTACCTCAAGAAGAAAAATGCTAAGATTGTATTTTATGTACAGGGCCAGTAATTTGCCAAATAATCCTCCTATAAAATTCTCATTAATTTCAAGAGTTGCCTGGATATAGCTCTAATTAGACTGGATGCCATAAATTAATATATCATCCATTCCAATGCTGTTTTTTTAAAAATTAAATGTGAGGAACTAGCTCCTTGAAACACCGTATGGTAGTTTATGTTAATTGGATTAAGTATATTATAATTGGGACTTACCAATATTTGTTTGGTTTTAGTTTTAGAATAACTAAAATTACATATGGAACTTAATTATAGTTCTGTTCTTTCAAGGTAGTCAATTAATTATTCATTAGTTTTAACAGATTTCAAAAATAAGTTTATTGAGGCCAAAAATATAATTTTGAGAACATGCCTCAGTAGACAGGCAAAATTTGTTGAATTTAGGACACTGATTAAACAGTATACTGATTTTTTTTCTAACCCTTATTTGGATCCTTAACTTATAAAATGTTTTCTTAAAAGTCAAAATAGTGCTTTTGAATCCATACGTATTTGGTATAAAAATAATAACTGTTTTTTCCTTGCTTTTAATGGCTAGCTTAGCAACTTGCTGTAAACTAACTTACTTCTCACATCAATCGTTTCCATTAGGCACATTCAAGTAAATAATAAAGAATCCAAGTAACAATGTCAAAAGCCCAACATGGCTTGATAAAATTTTACAGAGAGAGCTGTCCATTCCCTGGAATGGAATAAAAAAAAGTCACTTCACTCAGCCAAAGATTCAGCTGGCTTGATATTAGTATCTATTCTCATTGCGTAGAATAGTTTCTTCTGCTTTCCTTTCTTTAAAGTTCATCTCTTCTACAGTTAGAAGAACCACCATCAAAGGAAGCAGAACTGCAAACATAGGCAGACTTTTTTCTCCCAGAAGGTGGTAGGATGAAGACTTGTGTATAAAGCAGGTAGGTTAATTGTTGATCCAATCCACAATGATTAAGGTCATACTTCCAATCATCACAATTACACCGCTTACCAGGAACAGGAGAGCCTAAATAAGTAACCAACAAAAATATTGAATTTATTTTACCAGAAAAAAGGGCATGAAACAAAGAGTCTATTATACATACAAGTCTAATTTTCTTGGCAATTTTCAGACATGTATCATCCAAAGCTAAGATGAAAAATGTTGAACACATTCTGCCTTCTTTTTTAGGGAATGTAGTTGTTTCCCTAAAAAAGGAAATTCCCTATTGGCCTAGAGAAAATTCAGGCCAATATAGTAGGCTTTTAAATATGGGTGGATAGTATTTAAATATGGGCGGATGGTATTTTTGGACAGACGCATACTTCAATGTTTAATACATTTATGGCTAGGATATTCAAACTGAAGGGCTTCCAAGGGAGTTTTGGTGAATTGAAGACAGCTCTGAGAAAGCGGAGCCAACGACCATGGCAAAGATCAAGGAAATGATGAGTATGCCAGTTCCTTGGAACCTCTCTGAATAAGGAGAGGACAGGAGATCACCCACATGTGCTCCAGATGGCTTCTCCTTATGAAGAAACTGCGGGACAGCAGTTTTATGTGGGTTTCAGCTCCAGGAAATGACAGGATTGGCCATCTTGCTCACGACTGCAGCAGAGACTTTTAAAGGACACTAGGTTTGCAAACCTCACTTTCTAATCACTCTTAGAAATTGCTCATTAACTACTTTTAAGCTATTAGAGACCTTCAGAATGACAAGTTTGAACACACTGGGTGAGTCTGCCTTCAATCCTGAACGAAATAAATTTTAATCAGTTTTATTAAACACTATTTTAATATTCAACACAGAAGAGAATACTCAATTGACTGTAGCTAGGCATATTCCTGTAAAAGGTGACTTTGTTATAATTCAAGATAAATTCCAGTGGTTGGGAATACTTCCAGAGACCTGATTATTTAAAAGTTAAATAATAGTGGGAATTATGTTTAGAACTCACGATCCTAAAACTATTTATGGTATGCCACTCAATTCCAAAATGACTCTAAGTGGCTTACAAGGATACAAAAGTAAAATAAAAGGAATAAAAATAAAAATGATCATTTAAAGAAAAAAAGAGGGAGGGGTGAATTGATAAAAAGCCTCCAGCAGAGCAGATGCAGACATTCATGGCAACTGAGTAAGCTTTATAGTCAAACACAATGTGAATGAAGCTAATAATTCTATGAATGTGTTCATCAATATCCAAAAACATCCCTTTTTCATTAGGCATATGGGCAAACACAATGATAAGTACCTACCCCAATTTTTTGTACAGATCGCATTGGTTCTTTTTTCACAAGCTTAATGTAGAAAGCTGATGGGAGTATAAAGATTAGCATGGCAGCAGCAGAGGAACCTAAATTAACCATAAAGTTTAATTAGACCACTTATTTTCTATTACACTATATAGATATTTTTAGAACAATAGATATTTCAAACAAGTAACAAAGTAATCCTCACCAATGAATCCAAATATGTCTCGAATTGTGGGAACAAAAATGACGAGAATATTGGTGAATACCAAAATAGCTCCTGTAATAGCACAATGACGCAACCAACTAAATTCTTTGTCTGCACAGAGCAATTGTGTGATGGAACTGCGAATCTGCAAAATACATATTAATTAAATTATTTAATGTTCTTAAAGACATGTTAAAATATTTTTAATTCCTCCAAAAATGCTTTAAAAAAAACCTGGTACTCCTAATCTAATAATTAATAGTGATTTCTCTTTGTTTATATAACTTCTATACATGAATAAATTAAATTGTGGTTTGGAAGCTGGGATAAGTTAATATAAGGAACATAAACAAATGCTATTTTTTTGCTTGTTCTAGGAGCCAAGCCTTCATTTTTTAAAATATAGAATATATATTACCTTTCAACTATTCTGATACCACAATGAATAAAGGAAAACAAATTGAACAAATAAATACAATAAAGGATTTTTAAAAAATGAAAATGACCATTGAAAATTAATGAAAAGTCTATAAATACTTGATTTCCAAATTACAACATAAACTAGCATAAAATAATAACTACACTCTCTTCATTAAATAAAGTTACTCACTGGAAAAATCACAACTGGAACAGTAAGAACGACTGCCATCAGGACTGCCAAGCGCACAATCAGAAGGAGATTATCAGCCCCAAGCACTGCTGAGTATGTATGAAGCAACTCGGCTTCAACATTTCCTGGAAAGGGAAATGTATTTTAGCAGAATGTTTGCTAACTTTACTATTCACATAATACAATAACAAAATTCCTGTGCATGTTTTAAAAAGTCTACAACTGATTCACAAATGGAATTGTGCGACTATATTGTAATGGAGCACATGTTGCAATGCGGTAGCCACAATCAGGTTTTGTTAAAGAGTGTCCTGAACTGACTGAATTCCAGAAACCAACTTGTATTTCAGTATAAGATTTGAGGACTTGTCAGTATCCTCATCTAATATCTTTATGGTATTTCTATTGTTAATGCACTTTACACTGTGTATTGCTAAAGCTACAAAGTTTGCTAAAGCTAAAGCTACAAAGCAGTGATATACTCTTCAGTAAACAGGGTCTCTTCAAATTATACAGACCTTGCCTGAACTAAAGGAAAGTTACTGGTGGCCTATGATAGGATTCAGACTTCCTGACCCTTCCCTCCTTATAACAGCTTTGGTAGAATGGAATGCCAGACCTCATGGAACCAGGAAGTGAGTCTCCATCCTCCACCCAGTGGGGAATGGATTCTCTCTTTGTCTTCCTTCCACAGAAGTCAATCAGGCAGAACAATAAGTGTGATTCAGTATTACATTAAAAGAAATATCACAAAATTGATTGGTCTTGACCTCCATAACAGCCATTTTGCATGGGTGACCATAACATGATCTCAAAATGACTAATGGGTCTGCTGTTCTTAAAAAATTGGAGACTCTTTCTCCCAAAATCTCTACAGGAAATGTGTTTTAACAGTCCACTAGGACTTGCCTCTTATTAGTAATGGAGTTCAGAATTCCATAGGCCCGGTTACTCAGAAAAAAACGATCAATTCATTTTGTGCAACTTATTTTTCTGCAGCAGGAAGGAGCAAGCTTCTTATCACTTTAAACTGAGCTTGCCTTCTTAATTAGAACATAGAAATGGTACAATGGAGCACATATTTACATAAAGGCAAAACAGCGTAAGCTTGCTTTACTCCAGTTGACTTGTTCATGCCCGAAAGATATATAAAGCGTTAAAGTGCAAAACCTAAACAGAAGAGTTGCTTATTTACCATAAAATGTCAGGTATCCAAAGACAGCAGCCAAAAGGTACATGAGGAACATGGCAAAAAATGAAACATTGGATACTTTCATCATTCTTCTGCGGGTTCGGCTATTATACAGAAATAAATGAATTGCTGTGAATATTTCTGAAATACATGATTCCACTTCTATTTTCAATTCTTTGAAACACAAGACAGATGTAATATGCATGACTTACCCTTTCAGTTCTTCATAAATAGGGAGAATAGCAGGATGGCAGACAAAGGAAAATGTTAGGATTGGTACAGCATACACAGTCTGGAAAACATTAAAAATGGGTGTATGACTATTTCTATATTAACTTAAAAGACTGTCATTTATTGGTAAATTAGAGCTGTAATTCTAAACAGCACATTTCCCATTTTTTCATTCATATTCCTCCTTTCCTACAAACAGTTCAAGCTACTGTCTATGACTGCCCTTCCTATTTTATCAACTTTCCCTCGTAAAATAGGTTAGGTTGAAGAAAAGTAAACAGCCTTGTGGCAATTGGAACTTCTAATCCTAGTCAAAAGCACTAAATACTAGAAAAGAATTTGTAGGGCACAATAGTGCACAGTTATTACTCAGATGTGCTTTTATTCAGGTCACCAAGCAGGTTATCAATCCTTCTATTCAAGTAATTTTTAAAAAAAATGTAATTGTAGAGATGATATTCCATCTTATGTGTAGCATGCAATTATTTAACATTTATTCTAGTGAGGTGGAATTTTAAAGTATTTCACTAAATGGCTATCAAAGTGCTCATATTGGGTTTTATTCAAGTGTTGGCTAGCAGAATATACAGTTTACATAGCAAACATTCTTCCATGCTTGCAAACCAATTCCAAAGAGTTAAATAATGGGGTCTGTAAGGAATTGGATGGGAAGGAAAACTGCAGCTATGTAAGGTGACATCTGCTTATACAATCCTGGATTAGTTTATTCTTGAAATATTCTGTCTGCTCAAACAACTAAGTAGTTTTTGATACCACAGGTGAAATTGTTCTCCCACCTGTAATTATGTTCCATTTAATTCAAGGCCAATAAACAAGAAACTGAATCTTACTAAAGCTATAAAAGCTTTTATAAGGAGAACAGGAGGTTTCAGGACCAATTAGACTTTGAAAAAGTCACAATCATATTTACTTAGTTTAATTATTACCTTTGAGTTGAAGATAAAATATTTTGGTTCACAGGAATCATAAGTTGCATTAACATTTGTTTCATTTGCAATCATCAGTTGTTCTATGGTAATGTTCAGAGTTGCATTAATTATATCATGTTCCACTCCACAAGGAATTTGAAATTTCTTGCAAATGACCTAACAAAGGATGACCATAGTTAATTTCACACGATAAATCTGTCACAGTCCTAATTGATTACAAGTGTTTGCGATAGCATTTGAATCAATATTCTAAACATTTAGATGCATAGATATATAAAGAAGCTACACCTACCACAATAAGGAAGAAGACCATGCACAACAAGGAAAATCCACTGGTGTAGCCCAGATAACCTATGGTAATAAAGGAATGTTTTAATTTAAATCATGCAGTTCATGTGCAAATCACAAATCCAATATTTTGAACTGTAATGTCATCTTGTTCAGTAGACATTAGGTGGAATTGTTATTAGAAATATTTTAATGTAATACCCACTTACAAATAACCCTATGCACTTTTAATAAAGTAATTAGATTTTCCTCTCCAATATATGATTAGTCCAAATGGCCAATGGTCTAATTTGGCAAGTTAATTATTGGTATGTATCCACCAAGAATATACTGTAGCCCATTTAAGTTCAGATGATCTATTCCAAGTTAAATGAATATAAAATTGGAATATTTAATGTGATGCAAATAGCGCTACACTTTCTTTTCAGAGCAGTCATCACATTTTATTCATGTATCGTTTTGAATTCACCTAGGCCAACCAGAGGGCTTCATGAATTTGATCACGCTATTTCCTTCTGCGTGTGCAGGATAAAGGAAAAGAAAAACTGACTTGATTTTTGGGGTCTCTCTTGCTGACAGCAAATAAATTATGCATTCTTTTTCTTGTTTATTCTACATTAATATAAACAATAACAACCACTTACCTAAATTTTTCAACAGTGACAAAGGAAGAATGAGCCCCAAGGATACTAATACAACCAAATAATCGCCATTGGTATACCAATACCATTCTCTAGAAGAAAGGGAAGAATACACATGGTGAAATCCTTGCATGGTAATCCTGTTGACAATTTAAAATCATCTAAAGCTAATTGCCTCAGCAGGTGGGACTACCTGTTCAACCTTGTCTGGCTTTGGAAACTAAACAAGGTCAGGACTGCTTAGTTCTTGAATGGGAAACCTCTAAGGAGCAAAAGGGCTCTAGCCTACACTAGGAAGTCAAAGAGACATCTCAGAAGAAGGAAATGGTAAACCATTTAAGTGGTAAGGCAATAAAACTATAGGGATGTGTTGACAAAAGACCAAGAACTGAACTTCACTTGAAGAACTTCACTTCATCCTTTAAGGATTGGTTGAGATTGCAATATAATGCAGGGAGCTCAATGATTCCAGTCTGGAGCCTCTTCTGTACATGGATTTCCATATCTGGCCATGGGAATGTACTTTTCATAATCCCTTTTGCAAGGAGTTTTGCTTTGCTGAGTCACAGTAACGACAGTCCATTAATTTAATTAAGTTCCACAGAAGTCAGTATTTGAAGTAGACTCCACTCTCTTCAAAGGAATTTATAAGAACGTAATTGTGCTACTGATGGGACAGTGATCCAAGTACTCCTGCTCCAGAGCCTCATAATAAATATGTATTTTACACCAAAAGTTAGCATAGGGGGATAGTGATTTGCTTGATGATATAAGAATTGTGCACAGGCCTTCCACTCACTGTTATGGGCCAAGAGAATACCTCAATATATGCATGCACAGACATAGCAAAGGAGCTATTATATACTGTTGAGGTCACTCTTTATGTGGACCTGACCAACTTTGGTTTAGAGCCAGGGCCAGTTTGGTCTAGTGGTTAAGGCTCCAAGCCAGAAAGCAGGAGGCTGTGAGTTCTAGTCCCACCTTAGGCATGAAAGTTGGCTGGGTGACTTTGGGCCAGTCACTCTCTCTCAGCCCAACTCAC